GCTCTTTCCAATGTCCTTGCATCTAGGGATGTCATCCCCTTCTTGGAGGCTTCATTGAAGCACTTCTGTTGCCATTCCCATCCTCTCGCTAGAGATGCTCCTTGTTGTCTTCTACTTGCATGTGCTTTAATTTACTCTTCGCTTTGGTCTGTCCAGCTCTAGTGTCTGATGTTACCGCAGTCGTTTGGGATTTCGTGGTGGATACATGGCCGCTTGCGCTCTTTTGGCGGATGCTTTGCCATCGTCGCTGCTCTGGAGGATACTTTGCCGCCGACGTCGCCTTGGTCTCCCAACTATTGCAGATGCTTTGCTGCTAAGTGCGTGATGGCCCTCCCCTGCTTGCAAATACTTTTGCCATGTGGTGTTCTTGCTCGGGCGGATACTTGGCCATCGTAGTCTCGTCTTTTCTTGGTGGATGCTTTGCCACCGTGGCTCCATCATCTTGGTTGGCAGCCTTTGCATCGATGTTTATTTCCTTGTAGGTCTAGTCGGTTAGATTTGTGGTGGAGGGTCTCCCGTTACCGACTTTCTTTCTGTTCTGTTGCTATTTAAGTTCCTAACCACTTTATCTATGGTTTTGTACCTGCACTATAGGATCCCGTAGCTATGTTGTGTAAGATGTTCTTTCAACCCTCCTTTTTTTTAATGAAATATGTGTATTCTCGGGGAAAAAATGTTTCAGCTCCTAAGGGGACGATCTGCGCCAACCATGATGACTTAACCTGTGGCTGTCCCTGCCTGGGCGACAGTGGAGGTGAGTCTGTTACCAACTCGAGCTTAACTGTGGCCTCCAGCATTTGTAGGATTGATATCTAAGTTTGTCTGACCTTGAAACAAATTCGAGGTTAAGGCCAGAAGCTCGTTCGAGCTGGCTCACTGTAAGAGCGACTGAACGACCTGCAACTTTGACAGCGATCGAGTACGTGTGGTGTCCTCGTCCTTCCTATCGGACAGCGGGTCCACCCAGACGGCTGAGTTAGGCTGCTCGTATAAGCCAGCTTATAAATCATGGTATACTATTTTTTTCTCTAACAAATTAGTCGTATAAATTAAAACAAACAGCTTATAGACCAGCCGAACTAAACCTCACTTATGGTGGGAAAACGTATGGTCAAACAGTTCTCCAAACCCAACCCGGACCAGACGTCCACTGTATACATGCTGCTACTGCTGTTACTAGCTAGCAAGGCTGGTGCCTGGTGGCGTCGTCACACAGCAGTACGTGTATCGATCCGGTGGGGCCCCTCTCAACCAGGCACTTTCTTCCTCCTGAGACTATCTTAACAACAACACCAAAAGTATAAGATCTATTTAACGTTTAGGTAATGCTATAGTCAAAAAAATTCGATACCCATTCAACATCTTATCCCACAACAGAACTTAAAAGAAAATCATTTCTATAAATGGGTTTTCAGGAGAGAAGATAACTATATTTGGGTTATACCTCACGCAATCCAAAATGAGTCTTCCATATACATACTTTATTGAAGGCTAATTTTAAATCTCCTGTTATCTATTTTGAATTTGGGTGACCGTACGAGTTATCTAACGAAGACAGGCATGATGCGTGTCTTGTTCTTTCCTCGTCACACCAGGGCTTGCACAGTGGATAATGTCTGCCTCTTTCTTGATTCGATCGATGGCTACGTATGAGACATATTTATTGGCTCTTGGTGATGCAATGTTTGGACTGGACCATATATTGCATGATGGAACAGATGTTGTTAAGATTCAGCCGTGCAACTGCCGGCCCCCGTAAAGACACAGCTCTAAATGCCCACACATACGAAGGCTTTACATCATCTGCCTCGTTTTTTTTTTCAAACTCATCAAAACACGCTATTACTTCCTCCATTTCAAAGTAGAAAGTATTAGAAAAAGACAAACATCGTTTGGTGTAGCTCCCGTTCACCTGCTCCGGCACCTCTATTGTAGCCCACAAGAGCCGGAGCCAGAGTTGGCGAAGCTACAATTTATTGTTTGTCCACTTTGCTCATTTCTCTAGTTCATTTCGGCCAGATGACATAACTCCATGCTACAGTGTCACTACAATACCTATGCATGAGGAGTAAGAGTTGGCTGAAGCGACACCAAACGACCATAATACGTCTTATAAACATAAATGGATCAAAGAGTATTGGTCCGCTGTCGCTTGGCGTCTCGGCGAGCTCAATGGGTTTGGCGGGCTAGCGGCGAGCTTTTTTGTGTTTTTATTTGGTTTTGAGAGGCGGGCAAATGTCCCCGCCTCTGCTATTGCCATTATTAACGATGACGATTGACTACAGGTAGTGGGAGAGTCGTCTGCCTTCATAAACCTGATTTGCATGTCCCCTGTTAATGCAGTAGAGGCCTCTAATTAGTAATATTAAATATTATGTATTAGAAATTCAGAAATGCACACACATTATAATCGGAAATTGGGAAGAAGTAATTAAGGTGCATGCGTAGTCTGATCGAAGGGGATTAGGGGAACCTTCAACCTCTGCGTTTGAGCAGTGAGCACGACGGTGATGTACTTGACGTCAATCTAAATTAGGGCATGTTCGTTTGAACTTATCAGTCGACTTATCAGCTAAAATTTACAGAGCCGAAGTGACCCTTAATTAGTATTCGGAACTCAGAAGGGGCTTTGCAGTCCAAAATTTTCTGCATGCATGCACAGCGAAGGCTCCCGATCTCCATGCGCATGCACTTCCCATGCAGGCCGTTGGATCGAAAAGTCGCCTGGCGCACGAGAAAAAAGCGGTCGTGTGAGTGGGTAACATGGGACCTGTACGAGCACCGTGCCAAGTTAATTGCGTGCGTCGCAGTAAGCAAAGGGCTGAGCACCACCCAGCCGAGGATCAGATGGACGACGACGTGCATGCATGCAGACGCAGGTGATCTGATGCGTCCCTCACGAGCTTTCCCATGGGCGGCGATACGTATCTTCCATGGATTTTCCTTTAATTTCTCACTTGTTTTGTTTATATCTTTTGTTGTACTTGCTTCACTCTTTGCGTGCTCGCTTTGTGTTTTCTAGGGCACTTTAATTTTCTATACATGCATGTCCGAGTGCTTTTGCCTCGACACAAATGGGTAGTACTAAAGCTGCCTGGTCATGCACCTCGTTACTCTCCAGCTGAATCATGTCCAAATCCGGGTTAAGATCACAGCAACGACCACTGGAGATGACTTTTTACTGTCGAATTAGTACTAGAGGCTCTTGCGTTTATAGTCGGTTTTTAAGATGATTTATAGTCGTTTTTTTGTGTGTGTGTGTGGGTGGGGGGATGGGATTTCAGGAGGCAGATTCTCATATTAACAGAGACCAATATTTTTAGAAGCCCTTGAGGAGGCAGATTCTTTTTTATTTTTGCAGTTGGGCCCTTGAGGCCATGAACTTCCATCAATAATCATTTCATATATACCTTCCAAGACCTTGAATGGCACCCTTTAAGAAATTAGCCCCTCCTTAATTTTCATTCACCCTCCGCAACTGCTGACATGCTTGTTTGGTAGAGCTTTAGATTCTTCTCGAAATGTTTCAGACCAGAAATTCTCATTAGAAACCTTTCTCCGATGATTTTCGGTCACATTCTTTGAAAACATTTGACAGAGATTCGATTCAAAAACAGGTAAAGCACCCCTTTTTTGATGATTCTCCATTGTAGTGTTAAAATGAGAATTGTTTCAAGTGATTCTAGATGAAAAATTTTACATTTTAATATGTTTAGTAGCGATTATGGAGATTTACATGAGAATCCAAAACGTTTCTAGCATCCAAATACATCTGAAACTAGTTGAGGGCTCCTACTCGGACCGTTCCACTATGTCTGCCCATAAACTTGGGTGAAAACATTTCACAACATTTGTTTCTTTAAGAGTATAATTATTAAGATATTTCTAATATTCCCTGATTATAACATTTGTTTCTTTTAAAGCATAACTTTTATGACGTATCTAGATATAGTATATATCGTACATAATAAAAAATATTTAGCTAGAAAAATCACAACGACTTACGATTTGAAACAGAGGAAGTACTTATTAACCCTGAGTGAATGTTTTAAAATATTTTTTTTAAATAAAGACCCTTTTTATAAGACAGCGCTCGCCGGACTCGCGCAGGCCGCCCGCGCACGTAGACCCTAGCCGCGGATCCGCGCCGGGGCACTCGCACGGTCGCGCCGGTCGCACTGCTCGCTCGTGCGGTCGTGCCGGACACCCTGCTCGGCCGCCTCGCAGGCACTCGCGCGGGCCGCCCAGCTCTCCCGCCCGCCCAGCCTGTGCAGCTCGGCTGCCCTGCCCTGCGACGCCTGCGAGCCCCTCGTCTCGCCCGTGCGGCGGGTGGGGGTACGGATAAGGCAGGGAGGAGAGGAGAATGGATATGGATACGATGATAACAGCGTTACTAGTGGGGGCAAACGGAGGACTTGATTTCATAAAATGGGGGCAAATCTGCAAACTCTTAAAAGAAGGGGCAAACATACAGTTAGAGGCCAAAATGAGGGCAGAAACACAATTTGCCCAATCTAGTAATATGCATGCAAGAAGGTAAGGACCCCACCCTGTCGGCTCATCTGTTTTGGCTGTAGCGTAGAATGTGCAATTGTCGTCACCTCTGCTGCGAGCAAATACATCCTGCAGCTTGGTCACATGCAAGTTCAGAACTTCCGACGTCTGTCCTGTGGTAGCACTTCACTCACACAATGGTATCTAAATTCCAATATATATATATATAGATATATAGATATATATTTTCAAAGCAGGGACATCACAACACAGGAATGCCGTAGACATGGAACCAATCAAAGGCTGGATGCACTAATGTATGTTGAATTTTAAGGAGTGGATTAAGGTCTGAACCGTGGATTGGCTGAATGAGAAGCAGGGGAGGAAAACCGGACCTGGTGTGTTTGATTTTAAATGAAAACCTCGGAACCCCAATCATAGGGCACGCCAAAACAATACTATTTGATTGTTCAGTTTGATGGCCTTACAACTCACCATGAACTACATCATGACTTCATCTTCTTTGTTGACACGCTACCAAGGAACGCCCAGTCAGGATAAGGGCATTCGTAGCTCCAGTCAGGACCAGTGTACCGCACACAATGCAACCATAGTCCTTCCTCATCTCCATCATAACTGCCAAAACAGAAAGGCATATCAACAAAGAATACACAATATACCATCCTACCATAAAGCACTTGGAAAAATTTGTTCTCTAGTCAAACTCTTTATTGACAATCCTAAACATCTAGTAACAAAAAAACTTGTTAAGCAACAGTAAGCACTCACCCTACTGGAGCAAGATTTGGACAGTTTGTGCACTTGGGGTCGATATCAAACTCCACATCTGTTTCTGCATCTTTGCTGCCATGATCAGCAGCACTATTGTCTGGATCTGATGGTGCAATTTCTTTACTGGCACTTGTTCCTTTTGTTGATCGTGGACAAAAGTTCCCCGATAGGTACAGCTCATCATTAGCTATTGGATAACCAGCGTGCTTTAGATGCACCCTTATCTACATTTTTAACATATCAGGGCATTATGCAAACGATACAAATATATGTAAAAGCATAACAAAACACAATTTTATAGGAAAAAAGAATTCAGTAGCCAGATTAGTACCAAGACCATCATGGCATCATCCCTTGCAAAAAGAAAAGGAAAAAAAAAGGCAAACTGGTGCATGCCAGTGAATTAAGCAATACTGCAACACATTGGGCATGAAGCTAGTTTAAATGAGGACTATGAGTCAACACGATAGGAGCCATTTCATGGTTCTACCGTTCTAGTGCCAATAACAATTGGTAGAAAATGGATGAAGGCTTGTGTTTTAGATAGTATGTGAAAACTTTGCATTATTCATCTTTTACTGGAAGGGTAAATATGTCTACAATGACTAGTGATAGGCAATACCAAGTTCCCAAGATATACAATTGAGAAAATAACCATTTGTGCATCATTGTTGGAGCTGGGAGCATGAATCAAAAATACTTCACATGGTTTTAACAATTCAAACTTGGGAATTCCTTCTCAAAATGCAACTCTGGTGCCGCAATGGGGCCATCCCTATCCCTGAACTATGATGAACTGCTCCAAAATTCTCCAAAAGGACACAAATCCATGATATATGTATATTTATTTCATCTGTACTGTAGAGGCAAGGTGCATATCTGCATATTGATTTGACCATGAAATTTAATATGTGGGGACTGGGGACACAGCGATGTCATGCACCATATCTATTAATTTCTTAAATCTAGACTGAGTGGCAAGTTATAATGTTGTTTGTTGTTCCACTGTAAAATACATCTGACCACTAGCATACTCAAATGCATTGCAGTGAACACAATTCAGAGAAAAATACCTGGTGAGTTCGACCAGTCACAGGTTTGCACAAGACAATACTGTGTGTCCCATCAGTGCAAATCCTTTGAAACCTGGTGAGTGCTTGTTTTCCATTTGGTTTTTCACCAGCACCACCACTAATCTGAATTTCAGAAATTGTACTCAGATTAGAGAACAGTATTTCTTTTGCTAAGCGCACATGTAGTTCTATCAAATCTTGCATGTGGTTTGCATAAGTAAATAGTGGTATGTTGTTTGACCTGCTATTTGGGAAAAACAAAAGAAAATGATATCTCTACAGGGATAATATGAAATTTCTTTCTTATTTTATATTCCTGACTTAGAACATACAAGGCTTTAATGAAGTAACATTAAATGTGGTACAAATTATCTGATAAATTGTAGACATTGTTAACATCTACAAAGCAATCTGTACCAGCCTAGAATTGCACTGACAGCAATATGCTTTGTTTGAAAGGAGGGAGGGAAAGAGAGATTCAGCAATTGCTCCAACATATTGCCACGGAAAAACATGCACAACAAGATTATTAATTGCTTACAGACCTCCACGGTACTCCTTCCTTCCCGTGCATTGAAATTTACATTGGCATCGACAGTTTGCTGAAAAGAAACTCGTTCAGATAGATATACATTAGCGCTTCCGTGTGCGAAACAAATATACTTGAAATGCTTAGAACACTGGCAAGAGCTTTCCAGAAATATATTATGGTTATCAAAGCAGATTCTTTTTACGAAGTTCCTAAAGAAGATTCAGTGACGGTATAGAACATGCCTCTAATTGCCAATTAGGCGTACAGGTGGTTCCTTGTCAGGCTAAGCGGACACCTTTCAAATCAGTGTGTCCAAGTCCGAACCATCAGTAGTTCTAGTTAGTTGTATGTGGCGTCACCTTGAACTTTTTTTTGGCTGGACCGTACAGTAATTTAATACAAAATACACAGCTCCTAAACTTCGTTGGATCTCAATTTTTTTCAGAAAAAAGAAACCTTATGCAACGTAAGACAACTTGGCATCTAAGACGTAGGGCATAAGTAGAAAGTAAATTAAAGTAAAGATCTGACATGTTACATATTTCCTGTACTATTTATTTTCACAACTGAATAGCTATTTATCCTTGGAGCCCGAGAAATGTGGGCATTACATAAACGGTATACCTCACCATCAGGAAAAACCCCAACAACCTTGGCCACATATTCTTTTTGCAGCAGACCAGCTTCAATCTGCGATAACAATGCTTAAATTGGAAAAAATGTGTAATGTGTAAAAGGATGAAATACGTCAACAAGCAAATCATAAGATGAATGCAGACAGACAGTGTCATGTGGAACTGCATTTAGGAACGTCATCACAAGAAGACTACCACAACAGCCCCTTAGGCAATATGCTCCTTCAGCGCTATTTGCTTTGCTTTCTAGCTAGGCTTCATCATTAGGCTCAGGTTTGGTTTGTTTATATAAGAACCTGATTTGTTAGTGAGTTGGTTAGCTTAAATGTATTGTATCAGGGCACTCTATATATCAGGAGCCCCTAATCTAGGAGATCAAGCCAGAGCATTCAATTTGTTTCAATCTATTATCTGTTGTTCCTAGTTCGAGTGTGGTTAACAAAATCATTGCTATGTATCTTCGTGGTATGATTGGGGATCGGACACGAAACTGGGTGAGCTGGGTGCCATGGGCGGAACTCTTTTACAAGACTTCATACCACATGGTGCTACAAGAGACCCATTCCCACCTGTCTACAGTCACGACCCAGCATCAATCCATTCTTATGAACTAGGTTATGTTCAGGTTGAGGCTGTGGCTCATCCCTAGAGGACCGCGACAAATTCCTGGCACATGTGCATCACCACCTGTAGCAGGCTCAGCAGATCAACAAGAACTACGACCGTGACCATCAACGTGGAGTTTGTTGTTTAGAGACTAGGTCAGATTGCGCTTATGTTACCTGTCAGGCTGTCACCACACCTCGGCTTCAATGATCAACTCCACCAACAAGCTGTGACCACGCTTGTGTGTGACGTACAAGATCATAGCCCAAGTGAAGTCGGTGGCATGTCGCCTGGAGAGTTCGCTAGGGGCACACATCCATGACATGTTCCATGTGAGCTGTCAAGAAGTTCTTCTATCTGCCTCCAGCTACTCCGCTGCTACTGCTGCCTCTACACTATATTGTGCTAGAACACGGTTGAGCGCATCTCTGTCACAGTGTTCACCAGCTCTTGGTCAAGTGGACTGGACAGCCAGCTTCTGCAGTATCCTTGGTGAACCTCGACCTACTGTGATGGCCCCTAAATGATAGGCTCCATCAGCGTCACTTGCTTTTCTTTCAAGTTAGCTCAGTTTGGCTGTTAGGCTCAGGTATGGTTTGTTTATTTATACAAGAAATGAGAAATCAGTTGTTTAGCAAGTCAGATAGCTTGAATGGATTGTAATTGGCGCCCTCTAGGTGAGTGCCTTGTGCCCTTGTCTGAGAGATCAAGAAAGAAACATTTAATCTCTTCAATCTATTATCTAGCATTCCTAGCTCCAGGGTGGCTAAGTGAATAACCTCGCCTTCCCATCGAGCTGTTTCCATTCACTGCAACCGGCTATTCCATACAGTGGACACAATCACATGCTAGAGTGCAGACGCACATAATAAGCAATATGATAAAAAGGAGAATACTGTCATGGGCTCTAATATTACCTGTTGCCTGAAACATTCAGCTCTGTCGGCATTTTTTGCAAATATAAGGAGGCCTGAAACCAAACGATCTAACCGATGCACCGCTGCAAAAATAAAATGGTAGTCAAGGAATTCTAACATCTATGATGAATGGTAGAAATCATAAGGAAAAGACAAATAATCAGATAATTAAAGCAAAAGGATACGAAATAAGGGTGTTAACCCATGCTCAGCCTGCAGAATCCCAACTACAGTATTCTTGCGGTATTGGCCACATGGATGAACCTACAAAATGGGAACCACTAGATTTATGTATGTAATGTTCTGACTTCAACCAAACATACACTAATTAGCAATTAAGTATTTCTGTAGGTACTAAACCTAGATCAGTTGGCAGAAGACGTGTGTACACACCACCTAAGTTCATGTCCTCTTTGGTTAGCATTTGGGAGGCTATGTTCTTCTGAGAATAATGATACTGATTCCACCTAGGAATTCTAGTTTTCCCATAGTAACTTCTAAAATCAAGATTTGATTTCATCTTCAAACAAACTTAATTTACTTTCATCCAGGAGAATCCTTCATGATTACTTGATAACTCAGGCATCATCAGATCATATAACAAATTACTAGAAAAAAAACTAAGATTCTACCAGTAAAATGCCCGAAAAAGCCCCATCAGATACAACTTTAAGAGCACTGTATTGACTATTTACTAGCACATATAATTTGTGTTGCTACAAAACCTAATGCATTTTAGTTCAGGTGACATATTTTTAATAAACATGTGACATGTTGACAAATACACTTGATTAGTAACAATAACAATAAGTAAGACAAGAAATTGTCTAGACTTAAAAAGGACACAATTTGAACAACAAAGGATTGTCGTAATAATAAGACCAGATCCATAAATATTTTATACATCATGTAGTATACTAGTATAACAACTTTCATGTACATTATTATGAATATAAACTTACTGGAACAGAAGCTGGTTTGCAAATAGTTACGACATCAACTTCATTCTGAAGTATTGAAATATCACCCACCAAGACAGGTGGCTCGTGCCTGGAAGAAAAAATCACCTTTAGAAAAGCCTTGAACTAAAATTTGTAAATGAGAAAAAGACATGTGAACTATTTTTGTGAAATCAGAACACAGAGAGTCTAGGTTCCTGCCTTCCTGGCATGCCACAGGAAGCATCTGGTTGACCAGAGAACTACATGAAGGGAAGATGGCACATAAAGTTAAATTAAATGGCATCATTAACTTAAAAGTCAAGGAATCAACAACAGTTCATCAGTACAACTAACATTTTATTTATATTATGGTTTATTAGCTAAAAATAATCTCCTACAACTAAAAAGAACAAAACTAAGACAACCGAATGGTGCGACAATTTTCGGGTCGACGCTCTGCCTCTCCCCGTGCGATCCCACGACGTGCGCTGGCAGGTGGAAGGGTGGGAAAAAAATAAAGAATAAGAAAGGATTCATGATGCAAATGTACAAGAGGGAAATAATATATAAAAGTGGTTAGGATAATTTAGAAATAGTATAGGAAACTAAAATTTACATCGCTCTGCCCGGCATCGTGCGATCGGTGAAAAAGGAAACTCCCCCTCGCGCAAAAGCGGCCATCGCTCGCGCACGCAAAAGGAAACCTCGCGCGGCAATATCGTGCACGCAAAAGGAAACCTCGCCACCGATCTCGGGCGGCAGTCATCGTCGTTGTCGCGGGGGACAGCGACATCACCGACGACGTCGGCGATCCGAACGCCTCGGCCTTGACGGACTTGTTGCCTGCTGGCTCAGCGTCGGCGTCGTGCGGCAGCTTCCGGAAGTCGGCGCCGCGGGAGTCCACCTCGTTGGGGAAGTTGAGCGTTGTCGTAGGTGCCAAGCCACATGAGGGAAACACACTTCTTGGGGTCGCGGATCTCCGCTGCGAACTTGCCCCACAGCCGCTGCCGCATGCCGCGATACTTGCGGAAGTCGTTCGCGTCCACCAGGGCCGCCACCGCCGCCACGGCCTGTGCCTGTGCCTCCACCAGCGGCACGGCGGTCGCCGGGCCCTAGGCGGCGTGCGAGGTCGAAGGCAGAGAGATCGTGAGCAGCGGCCTCCGGCTAGGGTCCGACACCGGTGAAGGCTCGCCCCCGGCCTCCCTGATCCTCGCTCATCGCCATCTCGAGCGGCAGTCAGAGCCCAACAAAGACGGGTAGACGCCGCTCGTCGTCACGGCACCGCGGCAGGTTAGTCGAGATCCACGACGGCCATTCTCCCTCTTGCACGTAATCTGCTGCCCTCGCGACCCTCGCCCGGCCTCCTCCTCCCCGCTGCGCCGTGCCCGCCCTAGCCCGTCGCCCGGAGGACTTGCGCCTGCGTTGTGCCCGCCTTAGCCCGTCGCACGTCACCAGTAAGTCATCCGTTGTTCCTAATTTGTGGGGATGCAGGCAGCCCTAGACCTGGAACTAGAGCCCCCGCAGCCGACGTGCCTATCGTCCTTCCCCGCAGCCAACATGCGGAAGGGAGAAAAGGTATCCGTGAACAAGTGGCCACGGAGCTTCTAGCGACTCCGTCATTTTTTTCCTGACTTTTTTCTTTTCTTTTCTTGTGAGGAAATTGTTTTTTACTTGCTTGGTCCAATGCGCTGGTAACTTGTCGCTGGTAGTGACTCACTTGTTAGGTTTATTATCTATTTGTCTATACACTTTCGTTTATGTATTTGATTTGTCATACGTGGCATGTACTTCCGGCTTAAGTTCCCACTTGCCGTCTGTTTCCGTCTATTTTTCGATCGTATTTACCTGTATTACTATTTATCTCGCTCCTGTTTTCGGTCCCGGCTTCCGCTCCCGTTTCCGTTAAAAAATATGGAAACAAAAACGGTAGAGCTATTTTCTGTTCGTTTCCATCCGTTTTCATCCTTACCGCAGTGGCCACGCTAAAGCAGCGGCATCGACCGCGTAGATTGGAGGAAGAGGAAGAGGCCGCATCGCCGCGCCGCGAGGGCCGAGGGGAGGAGTTGACTCGCGCCGTCGCACGTGCGGGGCGCGGGCGTGCGAGGTGTTAGAGTTTGTGGTCTTGGGCCAATGGGCCTAGATGGGCTGAGTCTAAGCTGAGCAGGCCTATCCCGGATAGAAACAAAAACGGGATGAAAACGGTATATCCGGGTCGAAAACGGGATACCGGCAATACGGACGGACAAATGCTCAACCATTTTCGGTCCTGGTCTCGGTGCACCCCGTTCTATTTCCGTATTTTTCCGGAAAAATAAAAACGGACGGGAAAAACGGAATACGATTGTGGACAGAACGGGATTCATCCCGTCCGTTTTCATCCTTACTCACTGGTGGCTGCTGCTGAAGTGCTGAAGATAATTTTGGAGGTTTGGTTAGAGTACCTGTGATTGTGGGTTATGCGTAGTTTGGTCTTTTCTCATTTTATCCTAAAAATATTACATTTTTAAAAATGTTAATCCAAAAATATTATGAAGCATCACATGGACCTGCGCTTCTGTGTAAGTGCATTTTTATAATTATTATCGTGCTATATTATATTATCTTACTTGTTGTTCTAATTATTTAAAATAAGCCAAGTTATACAAATCCTGACTCTTGATATCCTTCTCTTCCAGAAAATGTGTGCTTTGATGTCGGTATTCAATTTCACAGTATTGTTATCTTATCATGCGATCCATGTGTTTTCAGTAGTAAAAGTTTAGTTGTCCCGTAGCAATGCACGGGCACGCTACATAGTCCCACTAAAAAGAGCAAACTGAGACATTAGCCAAAACATCTATTAGTTACCTGCCGATTCACTTGCCATTTTTATGATATAAGCAAGCATGCAAAGGATAATGTATCTGCAGTAAATTGTAAACAGTTATGCTGCCCCTAATCTTTGGAACATTTGTTTGAATGAAGCAATCTATGTTGAATTTATGAAGCGAAATTATCGAACATTTGTTTAGTGGGGATAATAATTTCAAAATTGATCAAAACAACTGACCTGTGCAAGAAGTGGCTTATCTTCTGTGATGATTTCACAATATAGTCTGTGTGAACCGTTTGCCCATCAACCTGAAGCCTCCCACACTTCACTGCATGAATCTAGCAATTTCACCTTTCACTTAGATGCAGCAATGCAAAAGTCACTGTAGTTATATGAATAAAACAGAGCTCAAAATCTGAAGCACAAGGTTTAAATCATGAAAGAAGATGCATGGTTCAAGATGATGGGATTCAAGAAACAACAGAAACTTCATTCAGTAGCAAGCCTCCTATGGACATATCTCTACATGTAGGACTGGAGGGCAGACAATGATATAATATAACCATAATGTGTGATTAAAATAAACACTATGGCACATGAAATTCGAAGGAAATAATGGCACCATACATAGTAATCGCGGGAGCGCCCTTTGAACTCATCAGTGAAGAGGTCAACAATGGTCTTTCCAGCCCATCTGTTCTTCACCTGCAAACCAAATGAGGAATGAACAAGAAATTTTACAAAATGCTTAGATCCACGGAGAATGTAATGCATCTGTCTTATCCATAGTTGAGCGAAGCAAACCAATCTGAACCAGCATTCCATAAGAATAGAAACAAGACCTGATACTAGTCGAAGGATGAACTATCTGGCATGGCACAGCAGGGTAGAACAGAGAGGATTTACCCTTATGTGACAGGTTAAGCAAAGCACTGTGATGAAACTTCAGAAATTGCATGTGTGTGATAGTATGACCAATCATCTAGCGCCACTATTTCAATTGGAGACCATATCTACGACTACATAACCTGATGAAATCAATCTGTATCCTCACATAATAAGCATGATAATCTATCTGGAGTCGAACAGGAAGCCAAAGAAAATATATAGTAGCACAAGAGAGAAACAAGGTACAGGAACAAGCGGTCCGGAAATTACATGGGAGATGAACTCGAAGTAGTAAGGCCTCACGTAGCGCCGACCTTCAGAGGGAACCGAGACCAATCGTTAGCACAGGAGGGGTTTAGGGTTTTAGTGCTGGGAACCAGCGTGCGGCGCGGTTCCAGGAAAGGAGAGGAGAGGAGGCTGCGGTTACTTGCCGTTGCGGATGATGTAGTCGTGCGGCTCGGGCGGGTTGGCCGGCGTCTGCCACACTATCCCCGCTCCCCCGGGCGGCGCCGCCATACCAGGCGAATCGGCGATGACACACTCCGGCGGCGGCGGTGGCACGGCTGAGTGGGGAAACACAGGAAACTCTCGGCTCCAGGCTTCAGCCCAGCGTGCAAGGGCATGGTGTGGGTTTGAGTGTCATCAGTTGCTGCAAAGTGGGCCACAATATACAGCCTCGCAGAATTTCCTTAATCCAAAACTTATTTTTTATTCGAGGACAGGGTTGGCACGTTTAGCATAAAATTTATTTAATTAGCATCTGTTTTGGGTGAAAAAATAAATAAAGAAAATAAAAGAAGTTAAAACCTAAATCAAATTAATTGCTCCTTGTGACCATGGCTCGTTCGCGTGCCGTTAAACCCGGCTTATCCGCTTTTTTTTTATCCGAAACAATTTTTTTTTTTACAAATTCCTCCAGCATTCCTCTGAACCATCCAAATTCCTCTAGAATTCCTCCATCCAAATTCCTCTAGAATTCCTCCAAATGAACAGACCATGGTGAATGATTCCGAATAGGAGGGGCATTCTATATTAAAAAAAAACATTATTTGTTCTGTTCTCTTTACGTTCACGTTCTTATGTGTCCTGGTTTTTCCCAAACAAGTATCTTTTTTTAGAGTTTTATTTAAGGCTAAAGCCCCAGACTTCAACTAACAAATTATCCGTTTCAGCATTCTGGATGGCATCCCATCCTGATGACCTGATCGAGAAGCGCAAACGAATTAACCACGCCTCTCGACTCAAAGTCTGGGAACATCCAAACAACCATTCTTGCAATCTTGATGTTTTGGGTCCTCTGTTTTACAGCTCGATCAGCCAAAACAGAAAAGGAAACAACAAAAAGATTCACTGGATCTGCTTCCCGGGAAGACCAGATAAGAACACCTCAACAATTCAGACCCCAAAAATAAATCAGAGAAAATTAATCGATGCATTGAATTCGGCAAATTTTGTAGAGCAATTCCTCAAGGAGCAAGGACAGTACAGGGCACCAAACGCTCCCAAACAAGAATCGTGTGTGCGCGCGCGCGCGCGTGTGTGTGTGTGTGTGTGTGGGTGGGTGGGTGGGTGGGGGGGGGGGGCGCGGTTGGGGGCATAGATACAAGAACAGCTAATAGCGATGATGCCATATGGCATCGCATATAGAGACACTGGATTGACTATAACCAAGTTTCCCTGGAGCAAAAAGAGCCAACACAGTGAAGCGATTCGCACTGCTCTATTCCTAGTGAGCTCCTAAAACCTTCCAAGCGGCCATCGTTGTCCATTGGGTACCTTCTGGTACCACCAGGACTTCAGTTTTCAGGTACGCCGAATCGCCGGAGTAACTAGAACAGCACACGGAGGGGATTGTCGGGATGATGAACATTTTCAGGAGCAACCAGGTACATGGACGAGCGATGGATGTAGAAGCTGCAACGAACCAACAAATTCAGCATTAATCAGTACAGCATAGCAGCAAAATGGATCGGAGGCCTGAAGTAACAAATCAAACAAGCGTAGATGAATATTCAGTTCATCTCATTACCTGACATAGAGCAAAACTTCCTGCATCAGCCTCAGTTCCATCATCGGGAACACTATCTTTGCCTGGACCATAATCCTTGTAGAACTTGCCAGCGGGGCAAGGCACTTTGCCCACACGGGAGATAGCTTCCCAATCTGCAATTAACCATCAATCGGATAATGAAAACTGAGATACTAACTCTGCACAGGTGTAAGAGTGGGAGTGGGTGTAGTTGCAAGAACGAACCTCTCCAGATCGGTTGGTTGAGAAGCGCACGATCTCCGCCAGAGCAGCCGCCTGCCTGACCGACATCCTGAGGCCGCCGTGGAGCCTGTCGTGCGACGACGGGAACGCCAAGTGCACGACCTCGCCGGCGTCCAGCAGCTTCCTCCCGCGGCAAGTCGACAGCCCGGTGGCGTACGACTTCTTGAAGAAGCACCATTCGCGGCGGTCTGGTGGGTACTCGTCCAGCTCAGGCGGCGGCGGCGCCACCACCATCCTCCACTCACTCACCGGCATGGCCCCTGGTGGTGGCAGCGCGCGGATGGGCTTCGGGTTCAGGTACGGCACCGGTTGAGACGTCGTCAGATCGATGAAAGGCACGCCGTCGTCTTCGCGGGGCCTCTTCTTGGACCTCGGCGCGGGATCCACGATCTCCACCTCATCTTCACTGCTGTCACTGTCCGGATCCTCCTTGACACGGCGCCGCGACAAAAGTTGTCCTTTGATTGGCGAATCGCGCGCCTGCTCCTCCTTGACACCGACTGCGTCGGCCACCTCCTCCTGCTTCACCCGACGACCAGATTGCTCTTCGAAGTAGCCATCGGCTTCGATTGGCTCCCTCTTCACCTTGACTTCGACCCCACCATGGGCTTCAACCTTCACCTTCACCTCTGCCTCGCCACAAGCTTCAACCTTTACCTTCACCTCGTCGGTGTCGGCATCGATCGGCTCCCTCTTGACATTGACCTTGAGTTCACCCTCGTCGGCGGCTTCAACCTTCACCGGAGGCAGAGGCGGCGAGGGGCAGGAGGCGCCGCCAATGCCGCCCTCCACCTTGACGCCCCTTTCTCGGGTCCCATGTAGGCCGCCGTCACCATCGGCGGTGGTTCCATCGTCGAGGAGCTATTTGATGGCGCGCTCGGTGTCACCGCTGCAGCGGGTGAGCGCGTCGACGGCGGCGGCCACCGGGAGGTCCGCCCCGAGGACGGCGCAGAAGGCGGCCAGGTCGTCCCCCAAGAGGGCGGGCTGGTTCAGAGCTCCGGAGGGTCGCGGGGGTCGCCGGCAGCACACGCCATATCGGCCAATCGACGGTGAGGTGAAGGACGAGACGCGACGGTGAAGAGGATTGAAGCGTGGCTGGGAAACGAGAGACCAGGCGATGGAGGACTGGAGGGCAGTAAGGGGACGACCGGACGGGGGATTGGGGATTTAGAGGGAGGGTTTATATTGCAGGGTTTCTTTTTGGCGGGGAACGAGGAATGAAGACGAGGGAACCGCAACTATTCTTGATTTTGGCGGGACGAAGCGGAGGGAAAGGGAAATGCGAGACGGTGAAGCGGGGTGAAATGCGACTTGCTAAAATTTGGAAAGGGAAATGCGGAGGCGTTGAAGCGTGGTGAAATGCGATTTTTTTTGCTAAAATTTGTGTGCCATTTTAGTTTCCTTTCATTAACAAACGATGGTTATTGCATACATTTTATATTACAATTGTAGTTTTACTTTGTTGCAGTTTATATAAGCACAATTTACAATTTCCAGTTCTGTGAATAAAAAACCGTTAGATACTAAGATAAAACTATAAACCCGATGAAATTTAATTTGTGGTGATATAAAGACAATTAAGAATTTACAGTTGTTTCTATAGTTAAATAAGGACACACATTTAATATGTTATGATACAAATACAAATAAAAAATCATAAAAGTAACAATTTACTCATACTAGTTGCGGTACAAAAGGTTGTCTAAAATCATCTAAAAATTCAGACACCTGGAATACTACATCCGTCCATAAAAGAATACATTTCTCATGTTTCGATGAGTCAAACAGTTTAAACTTTGACTAAAATTATATGAGAAAAGTGCTAACATTCTTAAGACAAAAATAAGTACCATTAGATTAATTATAAAATATATATTTATAATAAATTATTTAGAGACATAAATAATAATATTATTTACTATAAATTTGGTCAAACTTAAACCAATTTGATCAACATGGTTCCCATAATTATATTTTTTCATGAACAAAGGGAGTATAGGAGAAGTGTAATATATTAAAGTAGGTATTCCCTTCATCACAAATTATAAAAGTGTATGTAGTGGGTGTATGAATGCCGCTCCCGTACATTCAATGTGAGGATAGGACTTGCTCCTTCACAGTGTGCATCCGACTTCATAAAAGGAGTTACTCTCATCTTTCGAACCAGGATCCAATAAAAAAAATATGCTCTCTCCCTCACCGTCTCTTCTATTCTTGCCGTTGCTGCTCCCGCTGCCGAGGGGAAGTTGGAGGAGCTTTGGGGGGACTTTAGGGCTATCGAGGACTTCACCCTCCCCTTCCATGTGCATCGATGGCACTTGCCGCCCCCAACAAATCTGGCCATCTGCAGCCTCGATGGGGACAGGTACGGTGCTACTCACTAGATCCGACATCGGACGACCTCGTGGATGAGGAGAAAGGGTGTAGGGTCGAGATGGCAGACTAGAGGGGGTGAATAGTCCTTTCTAAAATTAAACGCTCCGGCTAACCGAAACTAATGCGGAATTAAAACTATCGGTCTAGGCAAAACTACACACATCTATCTAAGTTCTCAAGCACCTTATTAAGATCCTAATTAGGCAACAAAGCTGTCAGGCTAGCAAGAGCTCACCTAATCAATTCTAGAGTAAGGTCACACAAACCTATGCACTAGTACTTCGGCAACCGAGGAGCTCCTACACAATCTAGTAAGCAAAAGTACAAAGCCACCTACGCTCACTAGCAATGCTCAATAATAAGGCTGCACAAGCTAAATTAGAGAGCTCAAAACACTTAGCTACACAAACTAAGCAATATGACTAACAAAGTCACTCAAACCAAATTAGTCACGCAAGGGAGCTACTTCTATCTACACAAGCAAGAAGGTAACTAGTAAGCTACATAAGCTAACTAATTACAAGAGCGACTACACAAGCATAATGTATATGAAAGTAAATACAAGCTTGTGTAAAGGAGATGCAAATCAACAGGAAGACAAGGATGACACGGTGGTTTTTATCCCGAGGTTCACGTGCTTGCTGACACGCTAATTCCCGTTGAGACAAGCTCCAAGGTTGCTGCCGGTCCTCTTGCTAGTGGTGACCCGCAAGTCACACTCTCCCATGCGGAGTGCTTACCACAAGCTCTAGCACTTGACCCGCTGGACCACTTGTTGCCCTTCGCGTCTCGCTCTACTAGAGTTGCTCTTCGAGACTCCCGCGGGGTGAGTACAATCCCGTCACAGTCACTTCTCCGGATCACCTGAAAGGACCTTGATGTCGCCTATAGGAGGGTGAATAGGCACTTTTGAAAATTAACAACAAATAAAACTTGCAACGGATTAGTAGAGTGCACGACACTGCTGCTCTAATGCTGCAGCACTATTGCACTCAAAATACAGCACTGCTGTGCCCTTACAGATAGCTCAACACAAGCTATGTCTAGAACTCAAACTTGGAGATGTGCGTGGAGATGTCCAGTGGCAAGTCCACCAAGTACTTGCATTCACAAACACGCACAACCAAGTAGATCGAGTGGAAAAGAAATTGTCGGGGACCTAGTACCGGGGTACCCAATGAGGTGGGACTAATAACCATCGAACGTTGACGCTTCCAGTCAGACAAGAACGCTACTACGCTTCTTGCCCAAACGACGGAAGATTGGTTCCGCCTTGCCCGACCCCCGAGGGCTGGCTCCGCCTCGCCTGACGTCCGAGGGTGGGCTCCGCCTTGCCCGACGTCCGAGGACGGGCTCCGCCTTGCCCGACCCCCGAGGGCTGGACTTCGCCTCGCCCGACGGCTAAGGGCTGGCTCTGCCACGCCCGACGTCCGAGGACGGGCTCTGCCTTGCCCGACAGCTAGGGGCTGACTCCGCCTCGCCCGACATCTGAGGGTGGGCTCCGCCTCGCCCGACGTCCGAGAGCGGGCTCCGCCTCGCCCGACGGCTAAAGGCTGGCTCCGCCTTGCCTGACGTCCGAGGACGGGCTCTGCCTCGCCCGACAGCTAGGGGCTGGCTCCGCCTCGCCCGACGATTGCACCCTACTCCTTCATGATGACAAGCACAGGGTACGATAGGACATTCGAGTCAACCGTAGTATCGAGGACCACGCCCTGCACGCCTACAGGAAGGTACCATCAGGATACGATGGGACGGGCGCTTTAAGCCCTTTCCGACATAACAGTGCCCGAATAGTGTTGTAGGCGCCGACTTTTGTCCCACAGTGTAGTAGGCGTCGCCTTCAGCCCTCGGGCGTAGACACTAACACAGGCATACGACAGCCACTACGGTCCAAGACAGAACTCACATCATCTACAGTGACGGATGTATGGTCACTTCCCCGATTACTCCCCGAAGGGTCAGCTCGGCTCTCTAGCACGCCGCACCGTCCACCGGCGTAGGATGGGACGCACCCACTTGCTAAATGGGGCCAGGGCATGGCCTACGAGGACCAGCGAACACGCCACCTCTGACACGGTCTGCCATGTTAAGCAGGGCAGGCACAGGGAAAAAGGAAGACCCGGCTCCCTCGAAGGACCTTCTATACCTTCGGTATTTTCCTCTTTCTCCCATCTGTAACCCCTGCTCCCCCCTTGGTCTATAAAAGGGAGGGCAGGGCCCCCCACTAAGGGGATCGACTTTTGACGGATAAGTTCAACACACACAGCACATCACGCATACAGCCAAGCAATGACCAAGCTCTTGGCGTCCTTTCGACCATTCCATCAGAGACTTGGGACCTTTCCCTCTCTCAACCGTTTGTACCCCACTACTACGAACCTTTTTCGGTACTAATAACATGAGCAGCAACAGACTGGATGTAGGGACATTCAGCCCGAACCAGTATAAACCTTGTGTCCTTTAGTGCATCATCCGGGCCTAACGCGCAACCATTATAAATTTACTAGCCGGTGTTTGTTCGAAACACCGACACAAATAAATGCAACTCAAAACATAAGAGAGAGGGCACACGATTTATCATGTGGTTCATCTCACCACCAAGGCTTGCATATGTCCATATTGTTGAGGCAGCCACTAAGGCTTGGGATTTGCAACCCTTATCCTCGTTCTCAAGTCAAGAGAGTGAACTCTTGAGATGAGAGGTTTCCACTAGATCTAGGGTAATACAAACTTCCCGTGGCTCACCACAAGCACGGGAGCTCGTCGGGCGACACCTAGCCATCTAGGAGGCTTCGCCTCCAAGAGTAACAAATGCGCAACGAAGATTGACGAAGCCCGACAAGTGCTCAAGGTTTTGCTTGCTCTAATCAGCTCTCTAACACTTAATCAAACACTAATCACTCACTCTCACAAAGAGAGAGGTTAGAGAGAGCTCACAAATGGCTTGGAATGAGTTGGGAGTGATTTGAAGGTCATCAGCCTCAACAGAAGGCGTGGGATGGGTATTTATATCCACCCCAAACAAACTAGACATTATAACCTGTTAAGGTGCGGCACTGCCGTGGTGCAACACTGTTGTGAAAATTCGTGGCACTGCCGCAGCTTTGAAAAACAGCACAGGTCACCTTACAGAAAATGCTATAATTTTTTACTCCGAACTCCGTTTTCAGTGATCTTAGACTTTTTGGAAAGCTTGTTTCGAAGGCTATCCAGCCCAGCCAAGAACAAAGCCCCAAGATCAACAAGTGCAGGTGTTGTGCTAATGTGTTTCTCTCATGTTAGCACTTGGATTCGGTTAGTTTGAGCACTTGAGACTTGTCTATGATTCGTATTGCATCCCCCTTGATAGTATGTCATACCTATACTCAAGATCAATAGAATATAACTATTTCAACCACTTGAGTCTTCAATGTCTTCATATGCCATTTCTTCTCAAAATCACTTCATAAAGGGGGTTGCAATCATCTCTGTCTCATCTCTTCGAGCAAACATACCTTGAGCATGTGACTTGAACCATTTTCATATATATGAGCTCACCTCATGGCTTCAAGTACTTCTACTAATGATTTGATCCTCAACACAATATGACTCCTCATAGTTTGATTAGTTCCTCGACTCAATGCAAGTACACTATTCTTTACCTTAGCCATGGTACCTTGGTCCTCAAGCCATCGCTTGCCCTTCACCTCCGCTTAGTCCCTCGAAGCCCTTTCCTTGCTATCTTCACCTTTGAAAGCCCTAGTTTGGTTTTGGTGAATTGATGAAACCCTAAATGCTAACCAAGTTTATCAAAGTGATCATTAGATAGGTAGCACTATTCCAAGTGAGGAGCAAATGGTGAAGATCATGATGATGGTGTGACCATGGTGATGATCAAGTGCTTGGACTTGGAAAAGAAGAAAGAGAAAAACAAAAAGCTCAAGGCAAAGGTGAAACTTTATAGGAGCTTTTTGGTTTGGTGATCGAGACACTTAACGAGTGTGATCATATTTAGGATCGATAGCGTACTATTAAGAGGGGTGAAACTTATATCGAAATGCGGTTATCAAAGTGCCACTAGATGCTCTAAATCATTGCATATGCATTTATATTCTAGTGAGTGCTAACACCCTTGAAAATGTTTTTGAAAATATGCTAACACACGTGCACAAAGTGATACACTTGGTGGTTGGCACATTTGAGCAAGGGTGGAGAACTTGGTGAAGTGAAGGACCCGCGCTGCCTCACCCTCTCTCCGGAACACTCCGCGCAGAGCACCCCGACGATGTTTCCGATCGGTCTCTGCAACACCGCGGCGACTGTAAGCCACCTTGTGGCACGGCGCACGATCTCGTCCCCCGTGAACGACGAGTTCATGGGGATGATCGAAAATGTCATAGAATCCCTCCATGGCCTCCTCGTGGAGGGTCTAGGGTCAGACTCTGGCTCTGACTCCGGCACAGGGAGCCATCATCCCTCCCAGGAATGTTTCATGGCGGAAACCTCCGAGTGACACGTTGAAAGTGCCTCTGAGAAGGAGGTTAGCCCGGCAGGCAACCTCGGCATAGAACCGAAGGAAGAACGGCGGCCCCGTCCCACGTAGGGGTGGAGCAGCTAAAAGCCCGAAAGTGGGAGATCAACGAAGCCGGACAACTGCTTGTTCGGGAATACGCATTGGTCAATCAGGAGATCGAACGCAGCGGAGACGGTGGACATGCACGTGCCGTGGCCCGCGACGTAAACCGAAGGATCATCGCTGATGATGAAACCCTTCCCCACTTCACTCGGGTGAGCCAGAACATGACCGCCGCAACGGCCTTGCTCCATGGCCTTCCAGAGGCCGCAACGCCCGAGGATCGCCGAGCCCACCATGAAATTCGCACGCTGCTCGAGCGTGCTGCGGCACAGCAGGCGGAAAGCTCGTTGTCTCGACGACGCGAGCTCGACACCAGCTAGCGTACACCCTCAGTACGTCCTGCCTGGGACGCA